GGGAGCGTGTAAGGAAAATGTTCCTAGTATAACCTTCAGTCGAAGGCCTTCTGGAAAATTCCAAAAATTGAGAATGTCATATTCTGAATCCAGTTTCCTTTTGTCATCCAAGTTCACTTGGTCTCCAGCAGGATTGTTAAATTGGATGTTCTTCAGAAAGGGATGAAGCTAGAGGAGACAGTTCATGCTATGTGAATAGGGCTCCAGAATAAATATAGAAAATATGGGTGTAAGAAAGTCCCTAAATGGTTTCAATTCCTTTTACACAAAACAATTTGAACTGTAGTGTCTATTGAATTATAGCACATAAATGTCTAAGGACTAAAATGTGACCATTATACAAAACTCTCGGTCAATTTCTGAGAAAATATTCCATGCAAGCCCATGTAAACAAAGTTTTGGGGCTAAGGACATAGTCAATGGCACCATGCCTCACTTTCAAATGAAAGGTCATGAGTCTTATTCAAGGTACTCAAAAATAAAAAAGTTAAATGTATAAGCTTTGTTAGCCAATAATGATAAGTATAGAATGAAAGTTTCTAATACCCACAATGTACATTGTCTAACTACAGCAACAAAATGAGCTCTTCAATATATCAGAAAAGTTTGAAAAATAAAAGCAAAATTCCTCTATTATGTACTGTAGGGATTAACGCTATTTAGTTTCATCACTGACAGAAGATATTGTAGATGTGCTTTAATAATGTTATAGGCCCTGTTTAGCAAGGTACTGATGTCCGATGGACAGAATCAGTGAGCTAGCTCTCTATTTCCTCCATCTTTCCAGTGACTTCTTGATTGAGAGTTCTATCAACTCAGCTCAAGAATTAGCGAAGTGAAGCACAAAATCAATAGACACCAAATTTGCCCATGTCTAACTTGTGCTCACTGCCAATTGTACTTGCATAGCCACAAGGTCATACATGTTGTAACAAGCTTTTCTTTCTTTTCTAACAGTATTTGAATCTCTGGAGGAAAACCTCATCACACTTAACAGACTGGGAATTCAATCAAACAGAAATCAACATTCCACTGTCAATGAATTGATAAGGATGGAACTTGGGACAGACACAAACCAAGAATCTCCTAGCACAGAATAAAATCCTGAAGTACAGACTCTTCCTGAATAGGCCTCACTGCTAGTGACATAGATATCTACTATGAAAACTCACAAGGACTACCACAATAAACAAAATAAATATTATTTTTAAATGTCAAAACAAGGACCAAAATGCAATCTCTGTCAGCCAGCCCACAAAGAACAAGACCAGAGATATCAATATAGAGTAAATTGGAAGCCAAAAATCTCACATTTCTGAAATGATAGAAACCAAAGTACAAAAAAATTAAATCTCCAATCCATCAGGATATGTTAGAAATCAGTTCATACATACTCTCTCATGTAATAAAATAAGGGATAACAATAATGGAAGAATTTCTCAGCATTTATAAAAAATAAAAGATTAAAAACATAGAGGAACACAGAAAATGATAAAAACTGGAAAGAACAATATAGGAAACAATTAGAATGCATGAAACAGATTGAGGAAATTAAAAATTCCACGGAAATCTGGCAAAACTGCTTGAAGAAAACTGAGGAAAAACTTTCAGACTTTGAAGACTATACTGCAGTCTGCAAAATTAAGAGAGGAAAGATCTCTTTAAAATAGCAAGGGACTAGTAAATAACAGTTTAACAACTGAAATATGGTGCAAAGAAAAACAATATAAGACTGATAAATGTCAACAAAAAAGGATTCAACACAAATGATATCAAAAGACTACTTACAGAAATAATATAAAATGTTCCCAAGCATGGGAAAAGAATCTGAAATACAAATAAGGAAGGCATATAACTCCAATCAGTGATGCATAAAATAATTCTACACCCAACAGATAATAATCAAGATCCCAGAAATTTAGAACAAGAACAGAATATTAAAACTATTAGAGCTCACTTGGATGCAGTGCTCACTCCTCCACTGTCGTGGAGGTCAGGCTGAGCCCCAGAACGTGACACAGCATTGGTGATTCCTACCCAGATTACCACCACCACTATCATCTGGGGAGCCTTGCAGACCAGAGCTATGACCCAGTACCATATCTGTTGTGAACAACTGAACAATAAGAGCATCAAAATGTTTAAACAAGGGAGCAAAAGACAACATCAGATATACAACCTGCCCAAAAATAAAGGAGTAAAGGACATAGAAGAACTTGGAAGCCACAAACCTGAAATTTCTGAAATGGTAACAACTGAAGTGAAGAAATGACTCCATCAGGCTACAGAAGAAATTATATTACAAATAATCTCTCAGGTAAAAATAGAAATGACAACAATCATGAAAATACTACTCAGAACAGCTAAGTAAAACTGAGATAAACATACAGTACAATAGAAAATGATAGAAATATTGAATGAACAATTCAGGAAAGAATTAGAAGGCTTGAAACAGATTTAAACAAATATCCAGGAAATTAAGAATTCCATTGAAAACTGGCAAAACCTTTTGAATGAAAATGAATATATAAATTTCAGACATTGTTGACAACAGTGCAGCTAGTGATCCTGAAAGGAAAGATCTCTTTAAAAACGAAACCATAAAACAGCAATTCAAGAGCTTCAGGATGATTCAAAGAGAAGCTAATAATGATAGGTATAAACAAAAGAGCAGGAGTCAAAATAAATGACTTAAAAAGACTTTCCAAAAGTAATAGCACAGAATTTCTCAAACATGGGGAAAGAATCTGACACACAAATAAGTGAGGAATGACAACTAGAGCTAGGCATAAGAAAAATAAATCTATCCCCACACACATAACAAAGATTCCATAAATTGAGCAAGAGACAGAATATTAAAAGCTGCTAGAGAACAAAAATCACATTAGTACAAAACCCATCAGAATCATGGCAAATTTTACAATAAAAACAATCAAGCCCACAAGAGCTTCAAATGAATTATTACATGTCTTCAAAGAAAACAACTGCCAACCCCGATTGATGTACCGTGTAAAATTATCTATCCAAATTGATGCAGAAATAAGATACTTCCATGACAAAGAAATACTGAAGAAATTAATAACAACCAAATAAAACCTACAAAAAATACTGACAATGTGGCTCTGTGCTGCAATGGATAGCAATGGAAGTTGAACTTCAAACCAAGAATAATCGAAAGAGATAAGAAAGTCACTAACATTCGACTTATAAAAAC